GCAAATCAACTTAAATAGTTGGTGTCCAGTGGAGGGAGAAGTCAACAGTACTGTTGCCTCCTGAGAAACTACATCTTCAAACACTGCAATCTCTGAAGTGCGTTTTTAAACTAGTATTATAAAAACTCTATCATTCTGTTCTAATAGCTGAAATATATTCCTGTGAGTTTTCATTTGTCGAATGAACTGTTTGTCAAAATACAGAATACATATATTTTAGAATAATTTTCTTTTTAAAATGTGGATGAAATGTTTTGCTTTTAATGTATTTTTTATGTATTGTTTTTGATTTGATAACTTTTGACTAAACAGATTTTCTATTAGCTTCAGATCTTGATCAAAGTTTGGCACCCAGTTCATAGCAGTGCTTATATTGATTTTCTGACATCTTGTTTTCTGTAAAGATTTTATTGGTAGGTTTGCAAATGTGTATCATCAGACTGTGCAATCTCTCCATGAGTTGGTTTTGAAACCCAGTATGGGATTCTGAGATACATTACCAAGGATATTATTACAAGATAAATCATTTGCTTCATTGAACACGTACAACAATGCATATTTCCACTGAGATCAGTGACCTTTGATGTGTATCACCAGTGATCAGTCAAGTAGAAACAGTCAAAATATTTTATCAGATTTTCTCAATTTTTGCATGATATTTTCATACAGGACATCTGTTGTTCAAACTCAGGGAAGACTTTATACTGATGAATAAGGTGACCAAGTTTGATAAAGTTTGGAATAGAATTAGTAAAGTTATTATGCACACAATAACAATTATTAACGACGACAACAACAACGAGACGACAACGCCGGACAAAATTTTTCCCTTAATATACCTTTCCCTTCCATCTTTGATGGTACGGGCAAGGTAAAAAACAAGATGGCTGCCAGTCGGCCATTTTGAATCGAATCGCTAAACCATTGCATGTGCATATGTCCCACATAAAGTACTAGGCACATGCAAAGAATGAACAGAATCGGTCCAAGGGATTATGAGATATGACTCCGGACGGACGCACAGACGCACGGACACACGGACGGACAGAGACTGAATTATAAGTCCCCGTTTTCGGACTTCGTCCAAACGGGGACTAAAAAAGCGAATTAACAACACTTTTCGTTTTTAAAGGCAGTCTTACTAATATTATAGTAAACTGTCATTGCTGTTAATAGTAAGTATAAATGTCTTTTTGTCAGATGATGTAAATATATTAATTTGTTACTAGTAGCTTCGCAGTAAACGAAGTGTGCGCGAACGCTTAGCCCAGGGCTAAGCACCCTCTGCGGCGACCTTCGGGTGTGAACATTATGCACGTGATCAAATATATCTAACTTTCTCATTCCCAAAATGGCAACCGAGCTCAGTGTACACGCTTCCACACTGATTGGATCGCTGTAGTAGTATGGGGTGAGAATACCGCCAAAATTAGCTTGGTGTCATTATTTGAACATTGTTTAGTTGTTTGGTCTTTATTTGGAAACTCGTTTGGTTATTATTTGGTCATTATTCGGTTATTTGGTCTTTATTTAAACATTATTTTGTGCTTATTCCATTATTGTGTTATTACTGCAGCATCCTATTGCTATTGTTCCATTATTCCAACTTTATTTCTTAATTATTTCATTATTGTGTAATTGCTACAATATTATGTTGTCATTGTTTCATAATGTTACCATTGTGTCGTTATTTAGACATTATCTTGACATTCAATTGTTATAAGATTCGATTATTTTCATGTCCAAATGTCTTGACATTCGGTTCGCTTAACTTGCGATTACCACAACATTCGATTACCTGACCTACATTAGCTGACCCCGCTATACATGTAATATTCAATCAATAGTCCCGGGCCGCCTCCGATAAAGCATCATTGCTCAAGATGGCAATGCGGCTTTTGTAAAAGTTAGCGGGAATTTTTAAATAATGGTCCTTTCGCCAACATCCGTCGTCAGAGCCTGTTGGTTAGAGAATATTACTTCTCCAAATGCGATGACTAAAGTGAGGAGAAATTATTACACAGTTGATCGTGACA